CCCGTTTGCGCAACGTAGTGAGTACCTTTCACTTTCTGATAATTGGGAATTAGCACCTTGTTGGGTGGCATTAGGGGCCCCTTGTATTGTATTGTATTGTTGGGGGCCCCTTGTGGTACATCTGGGAAGTACAAATCTTTATTCGTTTTTTTTTCTTTTCACCCTTTTGCCAACTTTGTGGTGCCCCCTTTGGCCCTGGTGCCCTAAGCATGCACGTGCTTAGTTTGCTTAATGGTTAATCCGGCACTGTCCGGACCCCCACCCTGCTCGCGCAGAAAACGCATCTAAGGGGGTCTAATTTCAAATTCAGACCCCCTTCGCGTGCTCGCAAGTTTGGGTTACGGTTAGACCCCCCCTGGTACAAATCCTGTACACGCCCCTGAGTTCGCCACCTTCACTCCGGCATATATCCTTCGCTACACTTACGTAGTTAACGTACACGTTAACTAACGTAACGTACACGTTAGTGTAGCGTGTGGAACTGTCGACCGGGTACCAGTCTAGGTTAGGGTTAGGGTTAGGGTTAGGGTTTTTGCATCATGATATCTGTCCCCACACCATAGATTAATTTTTGTGGATGACACCCCTATATATAGAGATCCGATATATAGATATTTAGTGTTAGGGTTAGTGTTGGAGTTAGGGTTATCGTTGCTGTTAAGTTTTGAAGTATACGTCAACAGTATCACGTGACCGTCCCTCCACGCCCGGGGGATAGCAACACCCGGAAGTATAGCCTGTACAGGTGTAGCTCTAGTAACTATAACAGCCCTGCGGCAACTGTACGCGGGCTATAGTTACTAGAGCTAGTACAGGTGTTGCTATTCGCCGGGCGCGAGTTTTTAAACCGTAGGATGGCGACGCCAGATTGATGAATCACGCGTCTCTGATTGGTGCGTTGGGTTTACCCCTCACAGCAGGCTATCCCAGAAACCACCGCACCGATGCATGCATGCATGTATGCATGGCACATCCATAATATATAATTTCAATACGGCTAAATAGGCGAGCTGGTAGAGCGGCTGGCGTTACGTCTGAAGTGCGTTAGTTCGAATCCCATCTGTTTATTTTTTTATTTTTCTATCTTTATCCATTTAACAGAGAGAGAGAGAGAGAGAGAGAGAGAGAGAAAGAGAGAGAGAAAGAGGGAGAGAGAAAATGAGAGTGAGCGAGAGAGAGAGAGAGAGAAAGAGAAAGAAAGAGGGAGAGAGAAAATGAGAGTGAGCG